TCAAAAACTAATGATGTAATGTATGGTGATTAACATAACATAATAAAATAAAATTAAAAAAAAAAAAGACTGGCAGTAATCCTCTGATTTTAGTGAATTAAATATATTGCATTTTTGTCCTTACTGAGAATAACTATCAGTGGTCTTATCTGTTTGTGAAGAACCTCCAAGGCTCTGTTTCTTACCTTTTGACTTCCTGTCATGGTAGGACCTGCCTCGATAATGGGGGGTTTCCAAATATAGATTCTCAAGATCTTCTTGCCATGATTCTGGATTAAAGTGCTTGAGCAGATCTTCCACGGTATCAAATTCTGCGACTGTTTTGTCCAGAGCATCCGCAGTGAGGGTGGGGTCCGTTACTGATGGAGAGTGATAGGATACCCCCTAAGAGTGACATACAGCTCAGTGTACTCAGAAAAAGTCCATTGCTATGAAATACAATAGTCATACAACTCTATGGAAGGAACATAAACAGGCTTCTGATGGTAAGACATTCTATGCATAAATATCATGCTCAAGTCCTCTGCCATAGTCCTGCCATATTCTTAAATAAGAGCGATTAATTGGTAAATGATAGTCATTCACATTTCTGCAAATCAAAACCAGGCAGATCATAAAACTTCCAGTTCATCTGAGATATAATCATTAAAGAAGATATTGACTAAATGGCAATATCAAAATTACATCATCCCCTGTCTTGGTTCGAGCTCCCAAGTCATCCACATCCGCATCAACAGTTAATGATTAGAATTTAAATTCTGAACTGCTTTCATAATCCATTCTCTCCTCCCATGTTTAGCCTCCACGTTTCCTCTTCATGGGTCACCTCGCATTGCAGGCATTGTGTGAGCAGGGTTTGAATCTCCTCTGGAGAGAATTTGATAAAATTTGGCACTTTCACCAGCTTATTTACTGGTTATCAACAAGAATAATTAGTCATGAAACTTGCTCTCTCGACCAAGACTGGGAGATCCCAATGGGAAGCATATACATGTATTTTTAAAGTGCTGTTGCTTGCTCGTGATCCCAGCTGTCATTAAAATATTCTCAGAAATACTCTTTAAATGGGGAATGCAACACCACTGAAAATCTGGGAGGGATTATGTGGACTATGTCCCCACATAAGTTCCCAAGCACTTACTTCACTAACCCTTGGATAATCTAGAGGCAAATGAGCCATGATTCAAACATCTCTGTAAAAATTCATGACCCATTAACAAGGAAATAGCACAGTCGCAAATAGTTTCAAAATGTCTTTCAAGAAACTGCCAAACAAACAAGATCCCTCAAGGGCAAATATCTCCTACCATTCCGGGAACGGAAACACGGGAATTAACAAGCACTCGTGTTCCTGAAACTTCATGCAGCATCCTAACAAGAACTACTATGTGCCACAGGGTTTCAGACAGCAAAGTCCACATTTCATGGTCTCACTTTCAGCTTAGGGTCTCTCTTTTTAACCAATCAAGGTCCAAAGGTCCGGAAGCCAGGGACTGGATGCCCACCTGCTTTCAGAGGAATGGTGGTCCCTCTTTAGCAAACGAAGGCATTTTGCAAAAGCATTAACCCACACTCGTGTACCTTAAAGGCAGTTTTCAAATATGCCTGGTAGGGGAAAGGGAGTGGGGAAGAGGCTGGGAGATGTGAGCTAGACTGGTGAAGACAGCTGGCCAGCTCCCTAATCCAGGGGTGCACACGTGCGCATGCGTGTCTCATATAAACTGAACCCCGACCGAGGCACATCATTTCTGTCTTTCACATCCTTCTTGGCATCACGTGCTAGAGTCAGATATTATGACTCAGTCTCAAAATTTCAAATTCCCATTCAACTTTGTATTATCTGGATAATGTACAGTCCACCTGGCTCATCGTCACCAGATGATTTACAACTCCATCCCAAAGATGTGGGTCTGAGATCCAAAAATTCAAAAAGAGTTGCCCAAAGTTAGGTGCATGGCATCTCTATAAAAGCTCTGAAGTTAAAATGCTTCCCTGTGTTTGGAAACAACATGAAGCCATTTTCATGCAAGTGCAGGCCTCTGTCAGTGGCTCTGGGGAATCCTTGGCAGCAAGTTTCCTGGGGTGGCTCCTCACAGGACCTAGAGCTTAGTGTCTACCTACACATCTCTCCAGGAGAAAGCTGCGAGGGGCTCTCCATGCCTGAGGGGGAGCCAGAAATCTAATCCCTCTGACATTTGTCTGCAGAGCAAATCCAAACAAACCACAGGTAAAATGTAAAACTATCCTTAAGTGAGATAGTTAAGAAAATACTCACGGGTGATTAGAGGACCTAAAAAACTCGCCAGAACATGTTTATTTCTGGGGTAATTATTTAAAAACTATTTTTGTGAGAAAGAACTAACTGGGTGTGCCCTTTTCCACACCACTGTAGATCCTATCTCATTCAGCTTTTGTTATATATTTATAAAAATCCATTCTAAAGCTAACTGATTGGATTTAAATTAACAATTTTTAAAAGAAAAATAATGCTCAGAAAACTAGAAACCACTTCCCACAAAAACAAAATATGGTTTATACAGAGTTAATGGTGGGTCCAAGGCTCCTTACTGCTATTCCAGAGGGTTCCTGAAGACCAGAACCCTGAGGAAAGAGACTGTTTCCCTGCTATTTCCAGAGGACGAAGCAGAACCTGGCTTTGGAGCTCCAACCAGAAAAGTGTCCAGTGGATATGGACCCAGTGCTGAGCTTCTGCTGATGCTCCAAACGGATGGTCAATCCTTTTCTTTAAGAGGACCTGCATTATCCTGCATTCGCTAAGCGTCCCTTAAGCTTGTAATTTCTGCACGTGGGGCATGAATGACTCAGCCCCTCTGAGCCATCACTAGAAGATGCTTGAGAAGCCAGAGGATTCGACAGAGTAGCACACCAGCGCCTAGCGGCAGAAGCCGTTACACCGTGAATCGTCGGCCTCAGGCTGCTAACCGGCCAAGCCTCCGCCTGGCCTCCCAGAGCGAAGACTTCACCTGCCTCACAGTGATTGCCTGCACTTATCGAGGTTCAGAGCGTGCATTCGGGGCTGTCAAGAACAAATTAAACACTCTTAATATCACCATCAGACACCCCACTGACCTCTTGAGTAGGCCATGTTGTTCTAGTCCAGCGGACACACCAGGTGAATTAAATAGTCACAGAACCCATAGCTAAGGAAACCCTTCCATCCGAAGGTATTGCTTTAAAAATACCCCAGAGAGCAAAGGATGGAGTATCACTTGAAAAAAAAAAAAAATCAACTCTGACTCAGCCACATGGGCTGACTTAGACCCATGGGCAAGCTTTCTCCACGCTCTTGACCTTCTAATGAACACCTACATTTATTATCTTGTATTTTATTGCTACATACGTGCTACTTATAGGATTGGTGAAAACAAGGTCTGTTCTTTCTGAACAAAGAGAAGTAGAATACCGAGAAATGACTAAATTTGGAGGAAAAAAATGGGGGGCATGAGCCATTTTACAGTTTCAGGGTGAGTTATGTTTTATTTCTAAGTCAAATAGAACACACGCCTGGTTTGTACTTAAGTTATCTTATTGTAAACACCGGGATTTTTCACATCTGAAACGATCCTTGAAAACACAAAGGTTAACAGCTTTCCCTGGAATATTCAAAACACTATTTCAAAATACCCCACTTGAGCTTGGGCCATGGACCAGTTGATACGTTTGATATGTCTGGACAGTCGTCTAGTTGGAACATTCTACTTTGAAACTGATAAATACTGAAGTCATTGTCTAGCCCGTGTTCCTACAATGGATACTGGCATTTCCTGAGAGCCTTTTTGAAGAGAGGGGGAAAAGGGCATGCGACACAGCCCGCTGAAACCATAAATGAAATGGAAGGACACATCATGATTGCAACGTGGCTTCTGGTGAAGCCCTAGGTCCTTCATGCAGCTGACGCTGTTCTGGGGTTGACCTTAGTTTCTCCATCAGCTTTTTTCACTGGCAACAGAAAAACAAATTACTTACTGAGATAGAGCTTGTGACTGACTCCCAGTTGGTCTCTGAGTCTGCTGCGGGTTGGAAATCTTCCTAGAAGGCAAGAAACATCCACGTGAGTCAATCAAACCTCTGTGCAATTCATTATGTGCACAGTTTCAATATCTCAGCCCTCAGAATCTTCTTTCAACTAAATGACAACAGATATAAGGGTTACATTCTTGCCGGACAGTTCACCATTTGTCTTCAGCACCTCTCCTCAAGACCCCTTCTCATTCAAGACACGGACATTTATGGACATAAGGGATATATTCACATTTACTCTTAAGTACTGGTGAAATGGAAAATGTGCAGACAAGAGTTCAAATTTTAAGTTGGCCATCTGCCAGCTGCATGACCTCAGGCAATCTACCTAGCCTCTGCAATCCTTCTCTTCCTCATCTGTATGGGATGGTATGGGATGCTTAAATTAGAGGGTAGTTTTGAGAACTGAATGCACTAATTATATAATTATAACTAGCAGTTAATAAGGTCCTTAATAAAGAGTAATAATAGCCATTATCCGAATTGATGTTTATTTGGTTTGAACTAGGTTCTGTATCATGTTCAGTCCTGCCTCTTGAGCTGGTCTATAATATCAGTGATCTTTTCAAAGATAAATTCACCAGCAAAGGGCTATTCCTGACTCTGTCAGGAAACACCAGGAAGAATGGCAGGGGGAAGGAGATGGCCGTGGCCGTGGAGTGACAAAGTATTCCCCAAAGAACAAGATAAAAGGCAGACTCGAGAAAATTATCTCAGAGAAGCCTTGAAGGATTTGTGATAGCAATGGATCTCAGAGAAAGGAACTTCTCTTAAAAGGAAAATGTGTCTCCAATTTGTGTGACTTTCTTGTTAATTACTCTAGCACCAGTAACTTTAAAAAACATAATGGGAAGAAGAGCTGATTCTACCATTTTTACATGTCACAGATGGTTTCTTGACCCTGCTAACGTCAATCAACTTGGTTAAGGTCTTCTAGCCAGGCCAGATAGTAGGGTGTATTTTAAGATGATGCTGAGAAAAATTCAGATACTCAAATCTGGCAACTTATTTACCCAAGTATACTCACTGAATGAAGCTAAGTATCAGGTCTAAATTTCATTAACATTTTGAGGAGCTGCAAGTGCATTTGTTAATTGCTCATGATGAGACTGGATTATATATAAATGTCTGTGTTAAAAAAATTTAGTTGTTTACCAAGAAAGAACTAAGTCAAATGTGAGGTTCAATGAATGAACATCTATTAAAAACTGGCAAGGCATCATTATTCTTGTCTCTACCTCAGGAAAGATAAAAAAGAAAGAGAAAATTGGTCTCTGCACTCTGAAAGGTGAATTCCCACAGCAAAAGGATGGGTGCAAACAAATGAAGGTTGGTATTGATATGAGTCTTCATAAGCAGGTGAACAGGTGAAACTGGGCAAGAGAGCCAATGGCTTCTCCATATTGTGAAGGAACCACTGGTGGGAGGACATATGCCAGGTACGATAATAACTTGAGCAATCCTCACATCATAGAATTTTCATTTTCACTCATTCAATTCAATATTTGCTCATCACCAACTATGGGATACATTCTAAGCTTAGGGTAGAATCATGAGGAACTGAGAAACTATACCTCCCCTCAAGGAGTTCAAAATGTAAACATATTTATAACCAGGTAAAGAGCTCCTGCAATAAACTTATGTGTGTGCTGTAGTACTAGTTTAATAGAGACATTAAGGAAGGCAGTAGAAAATTTACCTGAGAGGAAGTGGGCTTGGAAAAATTTCACACAAGAACGTGACTCTCGAGCTGAGTCTTATAGACTCAGGTAAGTAGATGAGTAAGTAGATGGCTACTTGCAAGAAAGGTGGGGTAGAAGACTCAAAGAAAGATAGATGTCTAGACGAATGTGAGGAACATATACTGGAAAAGAAGTTATTGGGGAAAATTAATGAGTCATGTTGGGTACAGCGTGTTTGAGGTGCCCACGCAATATCCAGCTAGTGATGTCCAGGACGCCATTGGCTATATGGGAGCGGCCCACATGAGAGAGACCTGCACTTGGGATATAGACCCGAGAATCATCAGCACAATAATGGTAATGAAGCAAGTGATGGATTATGTTGATCGTGTGTGAAAATCAGAAAAGGGACAATCTTAAAATCTTGGAACTGGAAAGAATTTTAGTATTATCTCATGCAATCTCTTCATTTTAATGATTAGAAAACCAATTCTCAGAGAGATAAATAATGTGCTCCTTTATCATGTAGGCAAGTTCATGCAAAGCAGGACCACCAGCGCACACTTCTAAGGAGGTGCTGTGTGGTGGTCTTTCATATCATTGTAGCTGGCTTGAATGAAACAGTGTCCAGAAGAAAGTTAGAAGTAAAGCAGGAAAGACATAAAGCAGAGTACTGGTGGAAGGTTCTACAAGGATATCCTTTGAAGTACTCTTAGCAGTTTACACTTACTAAGTTCTGTGACTTCAATTTACTTTATTTTCTTGCATAGATATATGGTAAAAATGTTTTGTTAAGCATTTTTAAGTATAAAGGGCCTTCATGCCCATGAACCTAGACAAGTGTTGCACAAAGAACTTTTCATTTCTTCACTGTCCGGTTAGAAACTTTAATAGGCACCAAGGACAGAGGATTTCATTAAGTTCCAGATAAAAAGTAAATTCATCTTCTCTTAGCAGCATGAGTATTAGACTTTTTAAAAAAAACCAACCTTCCTTTAGGTTATTTCAAAATTTGCCATTATTTATAAATGACACATTTATAATGAGCTTTAAAAAAGGGAAAATTACTCCTTCTAAGAAGGAAGTACAGAATTTGGACCCGAAAGGACAAACTTGGCATCGGAAGGAACATAGCCATTTGCTTTCTAACGCTGTCGTTGGCATGAATTTCTCATCTCCGTCCACCATAATCTCACCAGTACGAGATACTGGTGGGCCTCCCAGCCGCTAGATTCTAAATGCTGCTACTGTATCCAGAGTCCACGCTTCACATGGCAGCCGAGATGCTCTTGTCTTTTCTGGCTTTACAAAAAACCACCGACATATAACATTGTACAGATTTAAGGTGTACAACATGATAATCTGATTCATGTGTAAATTGCTGAGTGGTTACCAAATAAGGTTGGTTAACATATCGATCACATAATTACAATTGTGTGTATGTGTGTGTGGTGAGAATATTTGAGAATTACTCTTTCTTAGCAACTTTCAAGTATATAATACAACACTGTTAATTATAGTCACTGTGCTGTGCATCAGATCCCCAGAACTTTGTGATCTTATAACTGGAAGTTTGTACCCTTTGACCAACAACTCCCCATTTTCCTATTTTCTTGTCCCTGGCAATTACCATACTACCGTGTTTCTGTGAGTTTGACTTTATCCCCCCTTCTTTCATAAAGTACACATACTATAGGTGAGATACAGGTTTTGTCTTTTTCTGTCTGACTTATTTTACTTAGTATAATGTCTAATGTCCTCAAGGTCCATCTGTGTTGTCACAAATGCAGGATTTCCTTCTTTCTCAAAGCTGAATATACATCTCTCACGTTTTCTTTATCCGTTCTTCTGCCAATGAACACTTAGGTTGTTTCCATGTCTTGGCTATGGTGAATACACACAGTGAATGTGGGGGTGCAGATGTCTCCTCAATACAGTGACTTAGTTTCTTTCAGTTATATAACCAGAAGTGGGATTGCTGGATTGTATGATAGTTTTTAATTTCTCAAGAAACTGCTGTTTTCTACAGTGGCTATACTCATCTACATTCCCATCAACAATGCATTAATAATGTTCCCTCTTCCCAACTCCCTTGCCAACACTTGTTATCTCTTCTCTTTTTGATACTAGTCATTGTAATAGGTGTAAGGTGATTTCTCATTGTGCTTATGATTTGTGTTTCTCTGCTGATTAGTAATGTTGAGCATCTTTTCATGTACCTGTTGGGCATTTATATGTCTTCTCTGAAAAAAAATAGGTCCTCTGCCAATTTTTAAATCAGATTATTTGGGGGTTTTTTTTTGCTATTGAATTGTATGGATTCCTTATATATTTTGGATGTTAATCTCTTTTCAGATATGTGGTTTGCAAATATTTTCTCCCATTCCCTAGGTTGCCTTTTCATTCTGCTGTTTCTTTTGCTGTGTAGAAGCTTTTATACTTTGACATAGTCCCACTGCTTATTTTTTGCCTTTGCTTTTGATGCCATATCCAAAAAAATCATTATCAAAACGAATGTTTGGGGGATTTTCCCGTTTGTTTTCTTCTAGGAGTTTTACAGTGTCATGTCTTACATTGAAGTCGACTCCATATCAAGTAAGTGTTTGTGAGTGGTATTAAGATATGCATCCAATTTCATTCTTTTATATGTGAATATCTAATTTTCCCAGCACTATTTATTGAACAGAGTATCTTTCCCCATCAAGTATTCTTGGCTCCTTTGTAAAATATTAGTTAACTGTATATGCATGGGTGTATTTTTGGGCTACTGTTTTCTACTGGTATCTTTTTAAGTGTAAATCAGATCACTTCGGTCTTCTGCTTAAATCCTTCTGATAGCTTTCCATTGCACTTAGAATCTGGTCTTATGTGATCTGACACATGCTTGTTTCCTCCCCAGCGTCTCTCTGATTTGATGTTCTATCTTTCTCAGAAACTGCACTCCCACTACTCTGGCCTTCTTACAGTCTTTCCAATAACACTCCAGGAGTCTCCCCTTCAAGTCTGGTGCTGCTCCCTATGCCCATGATGCACTTCCTCCAAACGTTCCAGTGATCGGCTCCTCATCATTTAGTTCTATGCTCAAACACTGCATCAGTAGGGAACCCCTCCTTGAACACTTCATTTAAAATACCCCTACTCTTGGCCACTCTCTCCACTTAATTTGCTTAATTTTCTTTAAAGCATTTATGATTATCTGAAATGATTTTCTATTTGTTTTACTATTCATGATCTCTTTCCCCAACTAGAATAAATGCTCTAGAATGGCAGGGAGCTTGTTTATTTCTTCTGTCTTCTATCCCAAATTCTTATCAGAGTTTTGGGGAC